TGTTAACAGTCTGCATATGAATAGAAAAACAACGAGTTCCTTTCCAATCTGGGATCTTGGTGACTCAATGAGGAAATAGAAGCAATTAAATTAACCATAACCCAAGTATTTGGGATTAAAAGAGAGAAGGGGGAGAATGCTAGTACATTGTTAATATTTACCCTTATACAATTCATTTTCCCACAGGAAACATAATATTAGGGATTCAGGTTGTTTACAAAACGTTGATACCGTGTAGGTATCCTCCGACAGTAACACCCCTCCTGGCTTGTTAGGACATAAATGGGTGGGGGGTACTGGACTTGGGGTGTTCCGAGCCATATATATATATATTTATTGATATTGCAATTATTGTAGACAGATGTGAAAACTTGTACAATAATTTCAATTTTTTGTATTATATATGTTTTTAGAATACTCTGCCACATCTCCTGCTTTTCATTGCAAAAGGTGTTGCATTAGCTTTCACCCCATCAGAAAAATCAGCGAATATATATTGGAAAGTGTGTGGACTTCAACATCAAGCAAAGGAACTGCTTACTGATGAGAGGATAAAAACAATGTATACAGTGGCTAGGACAAGTAGAGGAAATAATTATTATTAATATTATACAGGATTTATAGAGCACCGACAGTTATAATATAAGTAAACATTACAGTTACAATACATTTAAGACAAGATGGTTAGGAGGGCCCTGCCTGTGAGAGCTTACAATCTAAAATGTACATGTTTTTATGACTGTAAAGGCTTGTTCACACCAAATGCAGACCAGTTCTGCATGAGTTTCTGCACAAGCAAAGCAGTGTGTTTTGCCACGTTTTTGCTGCATTCAGGGAAGTTTTTTTAGTTTAAAATGGGCTTTCAGTGACTTCCAGTGCGTTTGCATGTGTTTTTGATGAGTTTGCATGCGTTCCAGAGCAGGAAAAATAGGGCTTGCTGCAGTTTTTTTACATGCTCTGGAACTGAACGCTGCAGTGTGAACTAGAGCCCAAAATACCATTGGAATACATCGGACGCAGTTTTGATCCGGTCTTAACTGCTCTGCTCTGCTCCTGGAACGCGCTTGGTGTGAACTAGCCCTAAAAGTTCTAAAGATTTTTGTACAGTACAAATAAAAGGATGTAAAAATTAGTTTTCTAAAAATGTTTTGCTCGTTATGGGAAATCGTTTTATGAGGCACCTAAAAAGTTCCAACTATCTGGGAGAAAAATGAGCTGTTGCCTAAAGCTAAATTTAGGGTATAATATTATGTATCGATATTTTTTTACACATTTTTTTGGTTTTCATTTCTTTGGTATAAACCGATATTCATTTCAATCTGTACAAACACAGTGCACAGTGAAAATGAAGATCTCAAAGGCTAAGGATATTTTCAGTGCTGAATGACCTTTAAAAGATTGGGAATACACACTTCGCTATTTGATTATGCAGAATTTCCAGGCTGCACCTAATTTTATTTATTTATAGAGGTTATCCTGTTAAAAATGAAAAGTCAGTGTTACACAGAGGCTACCACACTTGCTGCTTAAATAGTAATCCCATTTAACCGGAGGGGGTGGTGGTGATGATGGGGGTGGAGGGACTTTACTTATCTATATGCCAACTTTCAAAACAGTCAGATTCTACCTTTTCAGGGCATTGGAATGAAAGAAGACTGCCTGGGACAGTTCTAATCATGTTTAATACATAATGTCCATTTTTTATGATTATGTATCAAATCATTTCTAGATAGTAAACAGGAAAATTACCGCACAAACACAGGTACAACTGTCCGGTGTCTTTTTTTTATAGATCTTCAAAAAACACAAATGGGGCCCAACAAACAGCTGCATGCCTCTAACATGTTTCACTACACAGGCCTAATCACAGAGGTAAGCCTGTGTGGTGAAACATGTTAGAGGCATGTGGCTGTATGGAGGGTGCTTATTTGTGTTATTTGAGATGAAGATCTATCAATAAAGACACCGAATGGTGGTACCTGCATTGTTGCAGTGATTTTCCTGTTGTTTACCGAGTTGGAGCATGAGCAAGCTCTTTTATCTGCACCCTAGTGGGTCTCATGAAGTTGAAACTCTGAATGGGAATTGGAATGGTGATATTTTTTTCTTTTAAACTGATTAAACATTACTAGATGGTGTTACTCAAAAAAGCTGAGTCAGGGTGGCAATAAACTACCAGATCTAGCCAGCAACTTCTAAACAGGAGTATTCTGGTTAAACAAGAGCTCCGATTTATTTAATGCAGCAGGGAGATAAAGACAGCTTTACAAGGAACCGACAGTTCAGTTTATTGTAGGGGAAACAGCAGCAATTAGAGAAGTTTTCTAATCTCTCCAACTGCTTGATCTCCCCAGAACAGAGAATGCTGGCTGATCCAGCCAAAAACTACCAGATTGGGAGACGTGTTAAATATCTAATGGTATCTTTAGAGATATTAGGCATCCTAAACAGTTTTTGGCTAATACGTACGTTATACCTTTAAGCAGTTTTGAATGTTTTTCAAAGCATCAATATGCAACAATGAGTTGGTTTCCTTTTGTGTACAAGGACATTTTCTCCTGATGTCAATAAGCATACAGTTTAAGTCCATGTACAAGTTTAGATTTAGCTATATAATGTATATGAAAACCTTACATTTAGAGTTTTATATTTCTGTACTGTGATGTTTGTGGAATTTAGCAGGATTGCAGGGCACAGGGCTTCCAGAAAAACAGTATTTAATTCAAAAGGTTTTATATTAATACTAATAATAATACATAATAAAAGCCCACTTTTTTCAGCACAAAAGCAATTAAACAAACTCGCCACCTTACCAACTTAAAGGGTAAGTACAGTTACCCATCAAATGTGAGAAATTAAAATTACCCCATCAAATTCTTAGCAAGAAGCTCTGCTCATTAGTGACCGTGCTGAACAATGAGTGTTCACCATTTGCAGTGCTGGGCTGAATAGAGTACGCATTGTACACTGGCTGCAGTGGGGAGGCGGGGGGGTTGGGGTGTCGTTCAACAAAGGTATGAGGGGGGGGAGGGGGGGAGGATAGGAGGGTTCAACAACACAGATTTGTTAGAGGAAAATTTCAGTTTCTCACGCTCCAACTACACAACCTCCTTACTACTCCTCATCTGCTCTCTACAGCTTCCTGTCTTTTACATAATTCCTGCTGCAGATGGATTAACATACTGCCCCTTAAAGGGACCACAACCCAAACAGATGGGAAGTATAGTGCCCTTCAAGGACCCAACCCTGGTGTCCTGTACAGCACCATAAAACGGCTGATCTTGTGAAGACTAGTTTTATTGCTCTATGTAGAAAATGGTCATCATAGCATGTAGTACTTTAGAATTGTGCTGCTCATGGGTACATCTGTTTGATTGCAATTCATAAAAAATTATGGGATTTGGACTGTAAAGCACTTTACATGGATATACTTAGGTTAACTTTTAAATTAATTAATACCAATGCCTATGGAATTTGCCTTCTGGAATGTCTTCCTGATCCAACAGTCTATATTTTAGTTATATTTTGACAAAAGTTGGAGTCCCATAGTGCACATTAGATAGACTCTTTATTGTGGCTGTAAGTACAATAACACAGTTAACTTTTACGTAACACACACTGAATTCTGCATGTCCTAATTAACTGTTAATCACAAGTGAGCTGTGAGCAGCATGTACTTCAAATCAGAAATTCTTTGCTTGATAAGGTGACCAATGTGAATACACGATTGAGCTAAATGCAGCTGCAGTGTACATGCACATTGACATATCAGAAAAAGCACCCTGATCAGCATTTAGCACCTACCATAATAAAAGATCACATACCCAGCCTACTACTACCTTTATCTGCAGAACTATAAAATATATAAACAGCAAATGAATGCAGATTAGTACATGATATTAGTACAAAAAGCTATGTTTAATTGCAGTTGAAATAGGGTGTACCTTAAAGATACATCTGATGGAGGATTGCTCCATGAAAACAGAATATTTATGTACATCCTTTTGCCGCACATATTCTAAGGGTATACCCTGTTCAAATGTTAGTAAGACTCTTCGAACTGTTTAATTGTAATCTATAACTGGATGGTTGAGTATCTGGCATCTATGCTACAGAATGTTGGTGACTCTGAAATGTTATCTTTTGAAGTAACACACAGTTTTAGCATTAGAATGTACACTTAAATGTTTCAGTTTTTTAGTAGACGTAGACAGTCCATAAAGCCATTCTGTTTTCAAAAGCATATGTAACCCCTCTGTTCCTTCTTTTTTCAACAATACTCTGAATTTCTAGTGCATACCCGATGATCCTGTCAGTTCCCTTTTCTTACTGAAGCATACTGACTACGCCAAGCATGGAAACAGATCCGTGCTAGTTTGGTCGGTTTTCACTCCTCACCTTGCTAATTGGAACTATAGGATGCCATGCCAATGCACAATGTGCCTGTAGTCCTATAGTCAGCTTTGCAGCCATGACTGCTGCCCAGCCTTGCTTTAATTGATTGACAGTAGCTCCTCGCTGTCAAATATTCATCTGTGCATTGGCCCCTTGGATTCATGCTGCTCCATAGGGAACGTACTGTGTTCACTCTGCTACTGTCCTCAGGCACTAGAGACATGTGCCCTCACTCGACAGAGGTAGAGATGCTTTGCAGTCATGTGACCATGGAAAAAAAACAAAAAAAAGGTAAATAAACTATTTATTTTACTAAGCTATTTTATTTGCCCATTAGGATGATTTTTTAAATATGATGCATTACTAATTTCACATTATGGTGACTGCAGCATGTAAATTATGATTTCTTTGTTTGGTACGGTAATGGCTGGATCATAAAAGTTGAGCCAAGAATTTCAGCAGAAATTAGAAGCCAATTGATTTTTTGTTTGATATGAGCTCATCAACAATCAAGCATTAGTGAAATTACTTTTTAAATCTTAGTTAGTCTACTATGATGCAAAGCTAAGCGCTTTGGAAATTAGACGGTAACAGCAATAGCTTACCACCTGCTTGTTCCGTGAAGGTTCTGTTTAGGACCATATTTCTCTCACACATTTCTAGGAGATCATCACCAACATCTAAAAAAAATAAAGAAAGAAAAGATCACTAATCCCATGCCACACATAAGTAATAAATACAGGCAGGAGAAGTGAACAATCTAGGACAACATAGCTGAACTGGAAAGTGAGCTGAATTGGAGAATGTTTCCAAATCAGCTATTTTGGCCTAGATTGTTCACTTCTCCTGTCTTCTCCAAACTCTTCACCCTTTTGTGAATAGCCCTCCAAATCTTTTTGCTGTTGTTTTAGATTAGAATTGCTATGAATTACAAACTATAACTTAAGTTACTTCTGAAAAACCCCCCACATATTACATAAAATTAGTTAAATGTATATATAACGTTTCTTTCTTTCTAAGTTTATATTGTATGCTATAAATGTTATAACTGATATGTAAACATGTTATGTAATCTATTAATGACATATGTATGGTCAAAGTATAACCAATTAATAAAAAAAGAAGAAAGTGAGTGGAAAGTTCTATTTTTCCTGTGTACATACAGTACACTTTTCAAAAAATTATCCTAGGAAATTCCTTGCATTTTCCAAGCCGTTCATTTCATCATGAGGTGTTCAGCAAGGGAGTGGAAAGCTTTGGGAGAGAGGAAAATTCAGCAATGAAAAAGGTAAGTCTGACATTTTAGGGATTAAAGCAAAACTCCAGGCACAAAGCAAAATTCACAGGTGAAATACATATACTTGTAGCACCCCCCTGACCCCAGAGAGCATGTGCTGGACTTTAGAGGCAGGGTGGGCTGACATTTCACCTAGGGATGAGTCCTTAGCTGGTTGTGGGATGCAAATGTAAAGTTATTAGTCACTTCAAGGGACAGCTCACATGGAAGAGAGGATAAAGGGCTACAGACACCTTGGAGAGTACAGACTCCAGTGCAGAGGGCTTTTAAACTGATTACATTAGCACTGTATTGTAGAACCTCAGATGGTTAGCAGACATAGCACAGAACTCCAAGGACAAGACACCAAACTTCCTGCAAGGTCCAAGCCCAATTCTGGCTTCTCCGGCACCTTCAGCAGATAAAGTTCCTTCCTGGGTCTCCATTCCAGGCATGGCTTCCCCCTTTACTGGAAGTACAGTTGCAGAACTGGGTTCTGCAGGCCTGGCCAGACAACACACATCACGCACCCTCCCCTAGTCGGAGCCCGGGGGGAGGGTGCGTGCACTGGCCATGAACCTCCTAGTGATTGGCTAGAGAGACACACCTATTCATAATGATTATTGGCTGCTCTGCCATATTGGCAGGGTCACACAACAAACAATAAAAAAGAGCTTAGGGGAAACCAAATGAGCACAGAAATTTTAAATCAGCATAAACTGGCTACAGTCCAGCAGAGTTTGTCAATACAGCTTCCTATGTCACTTTTCTGCCTCCAGCCTGTTCACTATACAGTAAACCAGCATCATCACCTCCCATCTAATGAGTAGGGAGCTGACCCAGGAAGCAGAAAAGCTGACTCGGAAAGCATGAATAAACTTGGAATACGTTAAAGGAGTTCTAAAGTCACAGCATATACATTAGCATGGTAATAGGAATACACACCATAGTTGTTTTAATTATGCAATTAAAGCTTACTTGAAAAAAAATCCCTTTTATGTAGTGAGTGCTGCCTTCCATCTGCCAATTACTTTCAACAGCTTCTTGGATTCCCAGTGTGCTTTGCATTTCTTTCCCTGCTGTTGGACATGAAGCACTCTCGATTTCTCAAGACTACATATCTCATCATGCATTGCTTCCAGCAAGCAATGATAATGGTTCATTGTTCATATGATGAGTTGTAGATCAGCAAGCAAGTGCATATTCACATAGCTGAGTGAAATTGTGTCAGTGCATTGAGGAAATACATCCAATGGACATCTTCAATAAGTAAGTTTACAAACTTCTAGATCAATAAGATTATTAGGAGTAGGATAAAACTTATGGAAATGTAATATAGAAATACATGTTTAACATTTTTGATCATAGATACCCTTTAAAGAGAAGCTTGTCACAGGTCAGTGTTGGAATTTACACAGGGTAAATGACCTGCTCCCTTCCCTATGTGGCATGTTTGGGGGTCTGGTGATTCTTGCTATTCCTAAGCATTGTAAACTGAGAGGAAGGTCACATACTTCCAATACCTGGCAGCACCAGGTACTTCTGAAGGCTTCAATAGATGCTCCCAGAGCAGATCCTGTCCTCTTCCCTTCCTAGAGTGTGTTGCATTGTGGAACAATAGTACAAGCTCTATCAATGGAGAAGAGGGCAGAAAGGGGCAAGCAAGTAGCACAACTTATTACAATCATAGTTGCTGGTGTTCAGCCCCAGAACACTAGAAGACAGTGGTTACAGGATGTATCCAGCACCATGAAAAGAAGATTTTGTCATGAAGCAGCAGCCTGTGAAGTGGGATACACACCATCACAAGTAACTAATGTGAATGGTGCTGTTCAGCTTTAGCTTCAGCCTTGAGGTTGTGTGTATGATTAATGGTAATGAAGTCCAAATTACGCTGCGCTCGAGTGAGTGATCTATAAAACATGTGATACAAATCTAGAAACAGTGTCTTTGATGCAGTTTTCTCAGAAGCCACTACACTTAAGTGTGGAATATAATAAAGTGATAAATATCTACAAGAAAATATAATCTCAGCAAAGGTACAAACCCGTGATGTACACAAGTTGCATGTGTATATAAATAAATGTCTTATAACCAAACTAATCATATAAATAACAATCTATGAAGTGTAAAGCGTCATGATAAATGTACTTTAAAGATAAAGTAAAAAATATTCAAAAAATCAATATGTCAATAGCTTCCCAGTGCTCCACGTTTATTAACAGAAAAGGTCCGCACTCATCAGATAGCCTTTGTAAACTCGCTTAGGGTATATCCAATTGTTGGTCTGCCTCTCAAAAATCCCTGTGGGAGACGTTCAGCAGCACCAACTCCTCCGGCTCTTTACAGATATAAAAACCATGCAACTTCTCCACTTCAGGTCTCCTCATGAAAGGAGGTCCAGAAAGCGACCAAAACTGTTCAAAGGAAAAAATGGGGACATTCATAGTGCAGTATGTCCAATAACAAAAACTTTATTAAAAGGTTAAAAATACTCACAAGAGCCAAGAAACAAATTGCATATAAACACTGCACCGATGTACTCCTTCTATGTAAAGACTGGGGTTTAGTGATCTCAGCGTACACCTGCTCGTGACACACTATGAACGTCCCCATTTATTTCCTTTGAGCAATTTTTGGTCACTTTCTGGACCTCCTTTATGAGGAGACTAAGACTCATCCAGCAACTACTAGATGAGAAGTTGTAGGAGCCCCTCTGAAGCTTTTGCGTTTTCCACCTCCTTTTGTCCTTCTGTCCTACCAAATTATTTAAAGAGTTGAAACAACTTGGAAACTGGACCTGCATTTTTTTTTTTTCTGAAAACAGTAGAATGATGGGATTTACCAAAAAGCTGTATTTTGTTTAGTCTGTCCACACCACATTCTCCCAAAAGGATTTTTACTTCTTCAGGTAAGTTTTGGCAAACTTCAATCTGGCTTTTGTATGATTCTGACTGGACAGAAGGCCAAAAAAGTCTTAATGACACATTCAGACACACGCAAAACTCCAAAAATGGACTGGACAACATTATTGGCACCTTCTCCAAATTGCAAACAATTATTGCATTCCAAGTTTTTGTCGAAAAGCATGGACAACCTCAAGGTTACCTCAAGTCCATCTCCAGAGATCTTAATGTTCCTGTGTCCACTGTGCGCAACATTGTCAAGAAGTTTACAGCCCAAGACACTCTAGCTAATCTCCCTGGGCGTGGACAAAAGAGAACAATTGATCAAAGATTGCAACGAAGGATTGTTCGAACAGTCAAGCATGGTGGAGGTTCACTGATATTTTGGGGTTGCTTTGCTGCTTTAGGCACTGGATGGCTTGACTGTGTGCATGGCATTATGACATCTGAAGACTACCAAATAATTCTGGGGTGCAATGTAGGGCCCAGTGTCAGAAATACAAACACAAGAAATAAACATGAGAATGCCTAAACATGTGTAATGGTAACAATTTTCTGCGCAAAGTGGTGCGTTATCTGAGAGAAATGCAGGGGTGCCAACAAACACACACACACACACTGAGGTATAAATGTGGGTGTTACTAAAATTATTTTAACATACGTGTATTTTGCTTTAGAACATTCAGTAATGATTCTATTACAGACAATGAGGATGTGAGAATTAGGGGAGAATATTTGTACATAGGTAACAAGCTCATTAAATGACAAATGGTTGTCATTACCAGAACTTATTCTAATTGAGCTACGGTGAGCAGTGGAGTACCACAGGGATTGGTGCTGGGCACATTTCTTTTCAATCTATTTATTAATGATCTCTGGGATGAAAGAGAAATCTGGCATTTTAACTGATGACACAAAGTTAGCTTGAATTTTTACAAATTAGAAGGGTATATTACTAAAAGGAACTTGACAAAACGGCAACTTTTGCTGTTAAACGGCAAAAGGTAACTGAAAACATGTAAAGCTATGCACATAGGCTGGGGTAATAGCATTATATTAAATGGTATACATTTGGGGTAAATGGGAAAGGATAAGGACTTGAGAATACTGGTGTACCATAAGCAGCATTCAATAAACCTTTTTAGGCTATATAGACTTCTATTTGATGTTGTTCCCTTTTGTTATTTTGTGCTTGCTTTGTGTAAACATCATGTTTTTCACCTTAATCCACATGCTATATAATTTCAAACACACATGTAAACCCATTTCTTCCATAGCTATTCACTATACATTTGCTTTTAATCCTGCAAGTGGTGGCAGTACTGTTAACCACAACATAAACATTTCAGGAAAGAATGTTAAGAGAGAAATTTACGAAAAAACATAAAAAAATAAAAATAACTTTCCACTCCCTTAGTAAGTACACTTCTAGTCATAAGAGAGAAATGGATATCCATAAAAAGACTGGTGATATCCAAAGAAATCATAGGTACCTGTG